ATTATACCCAGCTGAAGTCCCTCCACACCTGGCCCATTAGGAGTTCCGCCGGGCAGCACCCGCTGACAGGATTTGGGGTTGTTCATTGCGTCAAGAGGAAACGGGCAATGCGACACTCCCAGTCTCCCTCCGTCAGGCGGCTTAATGCTTCTTTTGCCGTCTGGACCATTCGTTCCGTTTGACCGTTGGTCACGGGGTGGAATGGTGCCGACCTGATGTGTTTGATCAGGTTGTTGCTAAGGAAATGCTGGAATTCCTCTGACGTAAACGCCGTCCTGTTGTCCAAGACGATGGTGTCTGGCAGGCCGTGGGTGGCGAAGATCTTAACGAACTGAGATGAAAATAACATATAAAGCCACTTTTCCATCTAATCAAAATTTCAGCCCCACCAGCTGATGGCACAGCCATATGGCCAGGGGCCGCCTATGCCTCCTTTGAAGGAGGAAGATCAGGCATGTGGACTTGGCCACGTGCCTGTTGAGGGGGTGGAGCCAGCCTGTAACCCCTGGCTCCGTAATCACCCTCCTCATTTGCCATTTGGAGCATGTCGGGTGCACGGCCCTCATGTATGGAACGGTGACTTCCAGGCTTCCCCCAGGGCTTTTGGATGGGGACGGGTAGTGTCCGCAGCCTGGGCTGGGGTGAGCACCTGGGCCCTCCCGGTTAACCTGTGGAAGGTGGTTTCTTGGGCTTTTCCTGGCTGCCTGTGGACATTTGCTCCAGTGGAAGCCCCTTTACAAGACCAGTGGCCTGGAGTCTGCTCTCTCCCCCCCCCCCTTTTTTCCTGCATCTTCTGGGCCTGGAGGAACTAAGCTAGCCAAATCTTGGAGGCTGAGCACAGGGCTGGCTCAGTTGGCATTTGGACGGGAGACCTGAAACACGTTTGGGTCCTTCCTGCGTTTGCGAACCCCAGGAGTCTGTACCTCAACAGCAGCTTCTATCACTTCCCCACCTCTGGTTTCATTTGTTGCCTGGCTAGTGGTTACATGTGTGGTGCTTTCGAGCACTTTCAGTCTCCTTTCTGGTTCTGCAGCACAGGGTGTGGTAGTTGGTACAGCTGTGCCTACTTTCTCTTTCCATTTGGGTAGTGAGCAATCATGCATTGGGGTCTGATTCTTCCCCCTTTTTTTGGTGTTTTTTTTTTTTAGCCATGGCCCCCAAGAAGGGAACAGGCAAGGCTAAGGGCAAGCAGCCTCCTCCTAGAGCCCCCTCAAAATGCTCAGCTCCCCCATCCTGCCCTGTCTTCAGATGAAGATGAGGGAGACTTGGTGCAACAGGCCATTTTAGAGCAGCTGATGGCAGTGGAGCAGGCAGCTGGGGTTACTCCTCCCTCAGCACCAGCTGGCACAGCAAGGGGAAGCAGGAAGTAGACACAGTTTGCTTCCAATGCTCATTTACAAGCGTCTGTATTAACACGCTTATCTCTTTTGGAAGGCTGGGTGGCCAAGCCCTCTGGACCGGGAGGCAAGGCCAGTTCTGCCATTGCGAAAGCTATTGCAGCGGCTGGAGCCAGTGGATCTGCGCACATGGCTATGGCGGAGGTGGCAACAGCTTCGACAAAGACCTCAGAGCCCTCAGGTGAGTTATGCAGCACACCTCCCCAGGGCCAAGCCTTGCAATGGGGCCAGGCATCTACACCCAGGCCCTGGGCCTCATCACAGGCCCCTTCTGTGGCAGCAGCCCCACCTCCTCAACAGTTGGCTTGGCCATTGGGTCAACTCCCTCCTTCACAGATGTGGAGAAGCTACCTGGGTTATGGTCCTTCAGTTCGCATTGCTCCTTGGGGCTGTTGGGGTGTGCAGGCTCCTTGGGATGGCCCTGCCACACAGGTCCTGGCCAAGGACTTGCCATCTGGCGACACAGCCTTGCCACTTGGCGATCACTTGCTGCCAGCTACCCATGGGAAATCTGCAGAAGGGAATTTGTCAATATTTTTTCCCTCCTGCATTGAGAGTTGGAGACGAAGGATAAGGAGGATCTTGAGGTGAGGGAGAAAGAAAAGTTGAAAAGGAGAACTGTGGATAGGTCCTGGGCCAATTGGCTAGCAGGGTTTTTCATCTATGCAGGGGTTATAGCCCGGGCTCAGCCCTACAGGGCTGCGTCTTTGATTCAGTATATGGACAGTATAGATAAAGGCAACACGGGATCCATTGGTCCTGCCTGTCAGCAGTATGACAAGGAGTTTTGCATGCGAGCTGCTCACAATCCCATGCTTCCCTGGGATCAGGTTCAACCTCTGTTGCGGATACAGATTATGTTGGATTTCTGGAGAGTGCTCACACAGTGGTCATCTGGTGCAATGCACCCAGTCTGTGCCCAGTCCTCACAAGTCCGTCTGTTATGTTGGGAGTTTGGTTCCCAAGGGGTCTGTAACAGGAAGGCTTGCCAGTACAAGCATGACTGTGGCGGCTCCCACTAATTCTCCAATTGCCCTAGAGCCAGGCCATGGCGTGGGCAAAAGAAGAAGGAGGGAGGGGCAACCAATCATTTGGTAAAGGGTCTGAGCCCCTTAAACCTGAAGGCCCTTGAGGCATGGCTGGTTAATTACCCCAGTTGGGTTGATGGACATTACCTGTTGGAAGGTTTTCAGTTTGGCTTTTGTAATCTATTTAATAGGTGTGCTTTTATGGCCAACAACCTCCGTCCAGTTTAAGGAATGGAAGAAGTAGTTAGGGACAAAATGAATAAAGAAAGGGCTGAAAGTAGGGTTCTGCCCCACATTCCTACTCCTCCGGTTCCCAACATGCATGTCTTGCCTCTGGGGGTGGTGCCTAAAAAGACGCCTGGTGAATTTTGCTTAATTCACCATCTCTCCTTCCCTAGAGGGGGATCTGTTAACGATGGGTTTCTGGATGAGCTGTGGACTGTCCATTATATGACCATTGAAAAGGCAGCATGGATTGTACAGCATTGCGGCCCTGGTTCTGAACAGGCTAAATGAGACATTAAGTCTGCCTTTTACCTATTTCCAGTACATCCAGACAGTTTTGAGTTGCTGGGGTTTCGTTTCGATGGCCTTTTTTACATGGACAGGGCCTTACTAATGGGATGCTCTTTTTCTTGTGCCGCCTTTGAGCGCTTTAGCTCCTTTTTGGAGTGGGCAGTTCATGAGCGGTCTGGGTTTCTTAACGTAGCTCATTATCTGGATGATTTCCTCTTTATGGTTCTGGCTGGTTCTGGCCATTGTGGGCTGCTTCTTAATACTTTTGGGAGGCTGGTGGCTGAACTGAGAGTGCCACTGGCCCATGAGAAGACGGAGAGCCCCTCATCCAGGTTGACCTTTTTGGGTGTGGAGCTCGACACCACAGCTCAGGTATCCTGCTTGCCTGAGGCCAAGTTCCATGACTTACTCGTTAGGGTGAATGATTTTCTGGCTAGACGTAAGGTGACTCTGTTGGAGGTCCATCAGTTGGTTGGACATCTTAACTTTACCTGCAAGGTCGTTACTCCAGGGTGGGCATTTTTTGTGGAGGCAAAAATCTCAATGGGCTAATCAAAATGGGCACTGTAAGCACTGCAAGCAGTGTGAGCAGAGAAGGCCGAGATGGATTGGACGTCCACCACATCAACCAAAGGCCTGGAGGAATGGCTTCATTTTACAGGCTTTGCAGAACTGTAATAAGTCCTGCAGGGCCCAGATTTCAAGTGAGAGCATGTTCCACCAGGCCAAGGTCAGGGCAAAATAACAAGACAGTGGTTGCATTCAGACTGGCACTTTGGCCTGATATAGGCACATTTCACGACTGGATTAAATGGGCATGATCACACAGCCACATCTGTCAGGTGTTTCCCGGGCATACTCACCCCATCAGAGGACAACTTGGAGCTGTGTTGAAATGCCACCATCTCCGAAGTGGTATTTTTGTTTCCCTGCACATTCATTGCACATTGCCAGATGTCTGAACACAGGGGAGCGTGTGCAGAATAGATTTGGCAGTCGGAACCTTCAGATCCGTTCTGCCACTAGGGAGGCATTTTTTTTTAAAAAAACCTGCCTATTGTGCATGTGTGTACATGCACACTACACACACACATGGATTCTGGAAATAATGTTGCAGGTTTTTTTCCATGGGTGAGGTGCCACAATAATGTGGATGCTTTACTACAGGATGTCTCCATGGGTAACCCGCAGCAGGTTGTGCTGTGTGGCTGATATGTCCCACTACACTTTAAACCAGTTGTATTAGAGACAGCAGCATATCACGCCAAGCGGCCAGTGTGATCACAGCAGTGGGGGAAAATAGTGAAGCAAATAAATAGATCAAAATTGGACACTGATGTGTAAATACATGCTTAAGAGGAGATGAATAGAGCGTAACAACATGCTCTCAGTTAATTACTCTCAGCGTCCCACAATTAAGAAGGGTACATTTACACATCAATCTCATTGCGAGTTGCTTAGAGCATATTTTATAGATAGAGATCAAATAAATCATTAGGCAGATCTGATCTGAAGATATTTTCTTCTAAAGCTTATTAATAATAACATCAGGATACAACCTGTATATATATGCATACATGTATACATCATATATACAAAGTTGGTGAATCAGTAATCAATAAGGGGGGAAAACTCCAGTTAAATGCATATGATGGTAGATACATAAAGGATATGACAAAGTAAGGAAGAATATCAACTTATCAAATAAAAAAGGCAAATCAGACAGATACGGATATAATGAAGTAATTAATTAATTATGCCTCTCTTGCCAATGCCCCAAGGGTGCTAAGGTTCTTTGACTTGTGTGGCTAGCTGATAAATCACACAGTTAAAACAATCATTCAGGCAGTAAAGGATAACAAAAGAATTTATTCGAATAAAGGATCATCCAACAGCTCATAGACATTCAATGAACGAATACAGAAAGCAGACTTATACACTCTCCTTGCTCCTTCTCACTTTACATCATAACTGACATCACTTAGACATGCATAGTTCAGTTTTCTTTGTCTGGCCAGTTATCAATCACATATTTGACACACAGGATGTTACTTGGCTGCATTTCAACTCCCACAATGCAGGTGCAGTACTCATTATATTTGATTGATTTTTTGTTTAGTTTTTTGGCTATACTCCTAGACTCCTTTCACCTTTGAATGAACTCTCAGGCTGAGTTCATTTTTAGTTTGAAACGCTGTCATTTCTGTTACAAAATTGGTTTTCTTATATTTATACAGGCCTATATGTTACAAAAACACCTTTACTGGCATTTTGTGATCTATCTCTGTTAAAGAATAGATTGATTCATTGAATTTCTGGAAAATACAATATTATAACACTGTTTTCACAATTAAACTTTTATATGTACACTTTTCTAATGCTGTAAAGTGGCTTATGTCATAAAGCTTCAGTAGATACAATGAACCTATCTATTAGTTTTCATTTTGTCCTATCAGAATATTTTTAATAATGTTATTAGGTTTGTTTTGGTCTAAATTAAAAGCTTTTAATTTGTAAAGTGCACTACCTTATTTCAGTCAACAGAGGGTCCCTTTTTACAATAAAAATTATGCATTTCTAATTAGCGGCCCTGGTCACACGAGAAAGTTGCATCGGGAGAGGCACGGATGGTGGGCGGATTATCTGGGCGTGATCACATCCCAACATCTGGGAAGTGGAGCACACCCATGGCTTACCACTGACAATGCGAGTTAAAAAACTAGTACCTCCAAGGTACTAGTAAACGTTTGCCATGGGCTGCCTCCAGACCCCCGTGGTGTGATTACGCCGGCGTGTGGCATTCCCCTCCGGTCCCTCGTTTACCCACAGGCGCCGAGGGAAGGACCAGTGGTGTGCCACTGTGAGTCTGATCATGTAATCATGGATCAAACTGTGCTGAGGCAATTAGCCATGCCTCCCCCCCCCCCGCGATAACCGGGGCCAGCCTTTGGCAAGTGTGCATGCTTGGTCTCTGTGACCAATGAACCTATCTATTAGTTCTCATTTTGTCCTATCAGAATATTTTAAATAATTTTATAAGGTTTCTTTTTGTCTAAATTAAAAGCTTTTAATTTGTAAAGTGCACCACCTTATTTCAGTCAACAGAAGGTCCTTATTACAATACAAATTCTGCATTTCTAATTAGCTTTTGGCAAGTGTACATGATTGGTCTCTGTGACATCATTTGCCTGTTAGCAGCTTGATACTCCTTAAAACTTAAAAGCACAGATAATTAGCAAGTGTGCATAATTATTACTTTGTTTTCCCAAACCTTTTCTCGTTAGTTCTTTCAAATTAGCTTTAAACACAGTTCTTTAAAACAGAACTACTTTTCTCTTATACAGAAACATTTTATCCATGAGCTTAATAACCTTCTATAGAAGTGCTTAAAATTAATAAAGGATAGTTGCTTTTACAAATATGTTATACCTATTCAACCTTAAACATAATCAAGAGAAAATCCCTTCAACCCTTCAATTGTCCTCTACACCTTCAAGAGTGGGGAACTGCCAAAGATAATAGGGTGAATAGTGGAAGTTCTGATCAACAAGGGGAATCCCAATGGAGAGGTCTTTCAATAAGGATATCAGAGGTTGGCCCAGTCTCATCAGAGCTTGAAATCTAAGCAGAGCCATCCCTGATTAGAACTTGGATGAGAAACCACCAAGGAAGATTGCCTACACAGAGGCAAGCAATAGCAAACTACTTCTCTACTTCCATCGCATAGGAAAACCTATGGGGTCACCGTAAGTCAAAAGCAACTAGATAGGAGCTTCTCCTACCAAAGCCATAGTTCATAAAGGATCTTAAAAGGTTGGATGTTTCAAAATAATAGGCACAGCTTTAAGATAACTATGCCAAGTGTGCTACAGAATGTACACTGCTGCCCCTTCACTAGTTGACCAAATCACTGTATAAAAAGTGTGTGTTATATTTTAACACAGTTCATAGGAAGATTATCCCATGCTACTCTTCATGCCAAAATGCTGATGTAATTTCTTTTCATCTATATCCCTTTAGACAGGGTTCATCCTTTTCAGTTAACCTGCAGTTTTGTGAAAATCACACCAAAAGCGGCTTGCTTGGGTCTCTGCAGCCGCGCGGATCCTGAGCAAGCCAAGGGGAGTCCAAGCAGCCGGCTTGCTTGGGCTCCCCAAGCAAACCAAGGGAAGGGAAGGTGGCGGAGCAGCTGGAGACATTGAGCCTCAGCTCCACAAGTAATGGGCACTCGAGCCCCGCCCCCAGCAGCCCTCAGGCCGGAGCACCTGGAGCAGTCTTGGGAGGCGGATTGGCAAAAAGCAAAACCAAAAGCGCAGGAACTCGAGAGAACTCCAGGAATTGAGCCGGTTCCTCTTCCACAGCCCAAAATGCGAGCCACGAACCCTGAGCTTGCTTTTTCTCATTTGCGAGTCTGGCCTCCGCACTCCTTTAACGAGGCAGCCCTGAAGCTTGGGGTGGCGGGAGTTTCTTTGCATGCAGCTTGTGCAGCTGGCTGCCTCTTCTGCTTGCCCACCTCTCACCTCTGCACCTCGTCTTCTGCCAGGCATGGAGGAACCCAGCTCGTCCAGGTTTCTTGCCTCCTGCTGCCTTGGTCCTCTGGTGCACGGGTGAGTCCCCAAAGATTGACTCTTCCTCTTCAAGTCTCTAGCACTGGAGGTATTCACCTCCTTCCCTCCTGCCTGCTTTGGCTGCATAATTGTGAGAGATTTCTTAACATAGTGTTCCTGCCAGGGAAGCTGGGGAACCTGTTCATGTGTCTCCATTTCATCCTCACAACAACCCTGTGGGGTAGGTTAGGTAGAGAAGGGGAGATTTGCCCTGGGGTCACTCAGCCAGCAGAGTGAGAATACAAACCTGGGTCTCCCCACATCAATCTGCAACTCTGGCCACTGTGCAGTGCTGCCTCTACTGTTATGTAATGTTCCAGAGGCGTTGTAATGTAATACTCAGTTTCTCAAACGAGTGTATGCCTGTCTGTTGGTCCACTTAG